TACAAACTAAATACAATACAGTGCCTTTGGATAGCAACTTAAGACTATTTTCCTTTCGTGTAATTGTTTGTGTGTCCTTAGTTTTTAAAGGGGGAGATAAATATCTAAGAAGCATCGCTTGTAAACTTGATGTAATCCATCCTGCACATATGGACCAAACTAATCTTAGGAAGCACAGCTTTCATCATGTCACTCCCCTTCTGAAAAACCTCCCTAACTTCACTGTGAGCAAATAACATCTCAATTTCTTTGCTTGACCTTGAAGACTTTCCAAAGCACGGCCTTAATCAAGTTTCCCCCACTACTCTGAAACTTTAATTCTCAGCTCTTCCATGGCTGGCCTATTGCTCTTCTCTAGGTATGCCTGATTCCTTTCTACTTCCCTATCTGTGTTCACTCTGCGATCTCTTAATCCATCTGAATCCTATTCACCTTTCCAGGTACCATTCAACTCAAATCCCACCACTTTTTTGAAAGCCCACTCTGAGCCACATTTATATTTTACTTGTAGTAAGTTATAGTAATTTCTCTCCAACAGATTCCATGTAGGCCATAAATTAGATTTTGAAGATTTTATTAATTAAATTTTTTAAAAAATTTGAAGAGCATCTGTTATACGGGGCACAAGGACATAAAGTTGAATAAGAGGCTTACCCTACCCTGGAAGTTCTCACAGAAATAGCTGACAACTGGCACCATACCCCCTTGCCCTCACACATCTACCCCTCTTGGCTGCTTGCAAAAAACTTACATCATCGTCAGCATCACATATGCAGACACACACACACCCAAACACTCACCCACACACATACACACACATTCCCCAGCCCCAGGCCTCTAGGATCATAAAACTCAAGAGCTTTCAAAGGCTGTTTATTCCCAAGAAAGGATTAGAAACTCTCTATCTTACAGTTCTCTATATTGCCTGCTACATAATGTTCCACTTAATTTTATGCAGTTTTCTATCATTTTCTAACTTTCCATGAGTATGTATCTAATCTAGTCAATCAAATTATTACTTATAGAGTAACTTATTAAATTCTTTATGGTATGTAAAACAATACTATTCACATATGGTCAATATATCTTTTTCACTGATTGATACAATTCTTGATGTTTAAATGTAAGGTGAATTATTACTTAGAACATGTATTACATATGTCTGAGTCATTTACTTTCCAGAATCTCTCATACTCATTGGTTTCATTCTCAATACCCTCTCCATATTCCCTATGCATTAAAAAAATTAGATAGATGATAGACAGATAGATAGATAGATAGATAGATGATATCCCTTTTGAGTAATAACTGGTTAGCATAGAGCCATGAACATAAAAAATAATGGAACATAATTTTATTTGGAGCACAAGATTCTAATTTAAACATAATATATAGACCTTAACAAGTCATTAACTTCTGTCAGAGTCTACGCAAATGGATTTTTAATAATAACACCTCTCATAATGTTTCCAAGTGCGATCCACAACCATCTCCATCAGAAGCGCTTGGGGCCATCATTAAATATGCATATTTGTGGGCTCTACCCACAAATCAGTATCTCTGAGGGTGGAGCTGAGGAATCTACAGATATACCAAGCAATTGCTGATTCTTATGGGTACTACATTACATTATACATGTTTATACTTTTACATTCTATAAAAGACATTTATTTTCTCTTTACAATATCTGGAAGAGGAGCTGTGTGAACATCACTTCCAGATGCACTTCATCGAAAGACAGAAGCTATACGATATGTTCCAGATCACGTAGCACAGTGCCAAGTATTCATTTATTCATTCATTCAGCATTTATTTATTGAGTGCTTAGAAAGTGCCAGGCTCTGTTCTAGGCAATAAGATACCACAGTGAGCAAGCAAAGACCATGGTCTTATGAGGTTTATGCCCTCCTGGTGCCCCTTTCAGGCAGCCAGGTAAACATTACACAGGAGTGAATGAGATACAGCCAGGCCTCCAGACTCTTAGTTGACTGCTTTCTCACTCCACCAAAGGGTCTATTCACTACAGTGCAACATATCATATCAATAGCAAGCATAAAAAAGATGCAAATACAATAAAAATCAGGCTTCATTCTTCAGGCAGCATGGAGAGTGGCTATAGTACAGAAGGTACTATATATAGCTAGAAGATGTAAAGCAGACTGGGTTCAAAGTATGGCTTTAGCATTTTACATACCTGGGCACCCTGTACAAGTTACCTAAGCCCTTAAGCTTCAGTTACAGAATTTATCAATACCTACACCTGGAAGGATCAATGTAAGAATGAAAACATAAAAGCATATGGAAAACATCAAGCATGGGTCTAGCACAGTGTAGGTACTCAACGTCAGTTCTCTTTTCTCCGTTATCAAATCTGAATTTTATCCAACAATACCACAGCATTACCTAAAAGGCTAGATTTTAGATTTAGTTGGAAGTAACTGTAACTAGTTTGCTTAAACCTCATCATAAAGACTACTTTCATAGATTTTATCCTATATTACACATTTAGCTGATGCCCCTTTGGGATAAAAATAATATTATGAGTCCACTATAGAAAAACCATGCATTTTGAGTTTTCTCATCATAATAATAGTCTATACTTTGGGAACATCACTCATTTTCCAGGCAGAAATATATTAGATCATATACATAAAAATATGTATATACGATAATGTATCTTTCCATCTCTTCAAACTCTTAACTAATATAGTAGGTCCATAAACAATAAGTTCCCTGCATCTCCAACCTCACTCTTCCCCTTCTTTGCTAGCTCACAATAATCCAATGAGACTAGCTCCTCAAACCCACCAGACTCTCCAGCATTTAGATGTCATGCATGGTGTTGCCCTAGAGTCACCAAGTTAGTTCTTAATTGCATCCCACCTTAAATATCCGGCCCTCAGAGAAGCCTTTCCTGACCAACCATCCTGACAACATTAGGCTGCACTGAATAGGGTGAGGAAGCCTGGGTTCCAATCAGTCATCTGACAACATGGAGTTATGCTACAGCACAAATACACAGCTGGGCAGGTAGATAAAACTTCATACGCAACATGATATAACTGGCAACAGTGCATCTGCATTGGCTGGTTAAAAATATTAGCCAGGGCTCTCAGAAGTGATCCCTCCTGTGGAACTTCTGCTGAGAGGCTTGGTGAACTGTCATATACTGCTGACATCAGGGGGAAACAACTCCTTAAAGGGGGATTCCCAGCATGGGCTGATTCTCTTCAGGCTGCTTTTATCCTTTGCTGTCAAACCACATTTTGCAGAATCTCTGTAAGTATTAAAGTGGCCTGAGGCACACTGTTATATACGTCAGTAGCATCCTGTACTCTTCTTTAGAGCTCTTTTTACTTGTTTAATATTTCTTTTCTGTTAATGTGTGTCTTCTCCATTTAAGGACCGTGCCTACCTGTTGCCTGTTTAATTCCCAGTAACTGCCATAGTAGCCAGCATACAGAGGATTCCCTCTGTATATGTACAATAACCATTCATTGGGTGGATAAATTGAGAAGTGAGAGATGTGTCGGTTTATTTAGAGTTTATTTAATGTAATACACATGAAGTACCTAAAATAATGCTTGGCACATAGTAAGCATGCAATTAGTGTTGTTGTTATTTGTTAACCAGAACAAAAATCTCCTGAGGATAATACAAGAGGTGAGTTACTGACTGATAAATAATATGGTTGAGCACACGCTGTGTGGTTATCCCTGTCAGAATATGGAGCAGTGTACTAAAGGAGTAAGCTTTCACCTCATCTACCTCAGGTGTTTTTGAGTTAATTCATTTTAATATTTGAATATACAAATTTAAAAGTCCCATATCTTTTCACATATTCACAATTGAGTACAATGCTATTAAATAAAACCACCCACTCACAAAAATAATGTCTTGACCATATAAGTATTTCTATGGGAAAGAACAAAGAGATATATATCCATGCTTCATTCTCTCAATGGATAGAAAGAAAATTGGTGCCCTTGAATATTGTAAGGAAAAGCCACACACATTCTTTCTAAGACTTGTGAAAATGAAACAAAGAAAGTACAAAAGACCATATATTTTAAGTCACTGAAATCCCAACACCTACTCTAAAATAATAAAAAGAAGTAAAATCTGTAAAAAAAAAAAAAAAAAAAAAAAAAAAAAAAAAAGACTTGAGGTCATTCTGCCTCATTTTATCCCAACACTGCAGCAATATTTCCTGAAGAATTAACTGAAGAAAGTGGTTCAGGGAAGGAATACCTACTGGAAAAAGTTTTTTAAGGCTATCAATCTAATTTGTTTTGGAAGTGGATTGTTTTAGTATTTTTATTTACTAAGGTTTCACACTTTTTTTTACTTTATTTAATGGCATGTTTAGTTTTCCCCAAGAGTCCATTTTCTAAGAGTCTTTGATCTAACCATCCACATTTTGGTCGTCTATATACTTTTTGGGAACTTCCTATCACCAATGGAGAAGGAATGTGGTTATAAAATCAAATAATTCTTCCACTGTCAGAATCTAATGCATTAACAATCAGACACAACTATGTCTGAGCATTAAGTAACAAATTTTAAAATAAACAACCACTTATAATACTCCAGAGGGAAAAAGAAACCCTCCACTATGTATATACATCAAATGAAAGTACTCTGGTAGAAATGGACATCCGCGGACTAGTCTAGTCAGCCATTCTACTTCACACGAGGAATATTCCTAAGTCACACAAAGGTGCCTTTACTAAGCTTGAATGATATAATACATATGGAAAATGTGTTCACCACTTGATCTATTGCTTCTTGCTAAAAAGGTTGTTTCTTTTCCATGGGGCCATAATGACATTAAGCCTCAAGTACATTCATAATAAACATTTCCATTTTTAACATCATTCACTTTCCGTGGTTTTTTCCTAAAATTAACTCATGTTTAAGCCTATGGGGTTAGTAAAGATGAAAATCTCTTTGGAATAAATAGGGGAAAAAATATGAATATTCTAAAGAAGGATACCTACCTCAGGCCCTGTGATGTGCATCAGACCAGAAATAGCAGAGGCAACAGCATCGTACCCAGCTCGCTGAGACAGTGGACCTGTCTGACCATACCCTAAGACAACAAGAATAGACATATTCAGCACCACCCAGGGAGAGCAACAGTACAATAGTGTGTTAAAACCATCTGTATCCAGAAATCCTACAGCATTTTGTTACTATTAGGTCTATACTACCCCTTGAAGGAGGTGGTAAAATTTAATTATGGTGTTATACCCCAGAAGGTTGCAAACTGGTGACTCGTGGGCCAGATCCCCATTGTACAAATGTTTTGTCTGGCCTGAAGAGTGTTTTGAAACGTTTTTACTTAGTTTCCAACATGTAAAGATCAGGAGATAGCACATAATATACAAATTTCTGGCTTTTCTTGAAAAACCAGAAAATACATTCAAAACTCAGCTCACATCCTCACATGGCAATAATCAATCAGAGTTGAGTAATAATTCTTCCCTTTACACAGGGCATAAATTCTCCAATTTGCCGCACTCTACACCCCTCCTTAATCCTTTATGTTTCAGTCTGATTCAATCATTAACTGACCTTCCAGACTCCAATAGGTATTTGCTACTCCTGCTGTATACAAAACAATATACAAAGTAAAACAAAACAATGTCTCCCTAGGTTCTATTTACATATTTTTTCAAGTATGCAAAGAAAATATAAATGATCATTTAAAATTTGAACATAAATAGAATTAATACATCTCCTGCCAGTGCTTTTTAGGATTACAAAGAGAAGGTGAAGGTGATACTTTTTGTTGCCATCAGCAAAAATTAAAAGAACATAAAGGGACTTCCCTGGTGGTCCAGTGGTTAAGACTCCATATTCCCAATGCAGGGGGCCCAGGTTCAATCCCTGGTCAGGGAACTAGATCCCACATGCTGCAACTAAGAGCCCACAAGCTGCAACTAAAAGATCCTGCATGCCGCAACAAAGACCCAGCGCAGCCAAATAAATAAATAAATATTTTTAAAAGAAAAGAAAAGAAAAGAACATAAAAATATTTTATCCTGCTCTCCTCAGTCCTGGTGCTTACTGTTGGATAATAAAGGTTATATGAGGAGCTACATAACTCTGTCTCCAAATCCCATATATTTTGCTTGCTTCTCCAGCAACCTGGAACACTCTCCCTCTATTTCACTCCATATATGTACATACCTCACTCCCTCACATCCTCCAACTCTGCACTGAAATGTCTCCTTATTAGAGAGGTCTTCCCTGAAGAACTTTTATGAAAGATCACTCTCACTTTTCACTCTTAAGCCCCCTTACCTCATTATATTTGACTTCACACCTCTTATCACCACAAGATATATAATAGAGTTTATTTATTTTCTGTATCCTCCCTACTCAAAGGTATGTTCTAGAGAGTTTTTTCTATTTAATTTACTGCTGTATTGCCAGCATCTAAAGTAGAATTCAGTAATGGTTACCAAATGAATAAATGAATGAATACTGGTTATATAAAAACAATTATCTTTAAAAAACAAATTAATTAATAAAGAAACTAAAGAGGCTTTTTTTCTGTTTTGTTTTCTTTTTGAACAAAATGATGATATAGGAGGCCAATTTCCTCCTCCCATGGACACAGTGCTTGTACAGCTACACACAAAGCACTTCTCTCTGAGAGAAATCTGGGAACTGAGAAACTGGAGAAATCCAGATGAATGACTCCTATACACTGGGCAACAGAGACAATACCCATATCGAAACTGGTAGGAAAGGCTGAGACACTCTCATCATAAACCTCACTCCAGGCATAGAACCATAAAATTAGGAGGAAAACCCAAACTCCCAGCTTCTCCCTGAGGAACAGGCAGTGCGGACATCTAGTGTCCCAACCTTTAAGGCTCCCACCTGAGAAACAGTCCCCTAAAACTCCTATCTCTGATAGCCAGCATTCATGAGTCCTACAGGACTATGGCAAACAAAGAAGTTACTGATAGGATCATAAGCACTGAACACAACTATCCCCCCAGGTCTCAGGACTGAAGGAGCAACGAAAACATCCATTTCCCAGCCTTTCCCTGGAAAGGGTTTGACTTCATACTTTACAAGCTGTTGCCTACGGGTCTAGACACTAACTGACAACATCTAACTGATCCTACCTGGAACCTGAAAGAATCAGTGGGCGCTTACCCCACCTTCTCCATCCAGCACACTCCAATGATAAAACCAGGTCACCATCATCTCTCTAGAAGGACCTTCTACACATGTCTCGTGCCCCACCTTTTGCAGCTACCGCCTGGGAGATGGGTCCCCAGATCACCTGGCTCTGACTGTCAACAGTGCTTGCAGTTAACAAGTCCCACTGGACTATAGCAAACAAATAAGCAGTTTGTAATGGGCTCAGGGCTCAGTGCAAGGGAGAATACAAAAAGCTTACCTCCCAGTTTCTCCCCAGAAAGTGCCTGATGGCACACTGTACCAGCTGTTGCCTGAGGGTCTGGCTTCTAATCAGCCTGTATCTAAGTGCTGACTACAATCATCCCCTTTGGAACTTAGATGGGTCTTCTCATACCCTCAACTACTAAAATGCATGAAGAAGGACAGTGGCTTGGACAGTCACAAAGGTTTGAGAGGCATCCAGGAGTTCAGGCTGTGCTGATTAACAGGATTCATCTCCTACACAAGACCATTCTCTCAAGACTGAAAGAGGTGCTGTTTAGCTAATGCACAAAAACCGACACAAGCATTCAAGGAAAATGAAGAAACAAGGGAATATGTTCCAAACAAGAGAACAATATAAATCTCCAGAAACCAACCTTAATGAAACAGAGAAAAGTGATTTACCTGACAGAGTTCAAAATAATGCTCAGAAAGATGCTCACAGAGGTCAGGAAAGCAATGCATGAACAAAGTGAGAATTTCAACAGAGACTGACAATATTACAAAGTACCAAACAGAAAGTATGGAGATAAAGAATAAAATAACTGAACTGAAAAATTCAATAGAAAGGTTCAACAGCAGACTAGATCAAGTGGAAGAGTCAGTGAATTAGAAGACAGAGCAGTGGAATACATCCACTCAGTGAAGAAAAAAGACTAAAAAAGGAGTGAAGATAGCTTAAGAGACTTATAGCGCACTAAAAAATGGGCCAATATACACATTATAAGGATTCTAGAAGACAGGGGGGACCTTATTCAAAGAAATAATGGCTGAAAACTTCCCTAACCTGGGGGAAAAAAACAGACATCCAAATCTAGGCAGCCCAAGAAGTACCAAATATGATGAATCTAAAGAAATTCACACCCAGACATTATAATTAAATTGTCAAAGACAAAAACCTTAAAAGCAGCAACAGAAAAGCAACTTGTTACATACAAGGGAACACTCATAAGACTATCAGTGGATTCTACAATAACCTTGCAGGTCAGAAGGCAGTGGGATGAGACATTCAAAGTGCTGAAAGGAAATAAAAAAGACGGCCAAACAAGAATACTCTACCCAACAAAATAGTCCTTCAGAATTGAAAGAGAGATAAAGAGTTTCCAGACAAACAAAAGCTGAAGGAATTTATCACCACTAGACTGGTCTTACAAGACATGTTAAAGGGATTTCTTCAAGCTGAAACAAAAGGATGCTAATTAGTAACATTAAAACATATGAAAGTATAAAACTCACTGGTACAGATAAATATATGGTTAAATTCAGAATACTCGAATATTGTAATGGTGGTGGGTAAATCACTTATAACTCTGGTATAAAGATTAAAATTAAAAATATTAACACCACCTATAACTACAATAATTTGTTAATGAATACACAATATTAAAAAGATTTAAATTGTGACATCAAAAACATCAAATGTTGGAGAAGAGTGTAAAAATGTAGAATCTTCTTATACACTTGAAGTTAGTTTGTTAGGTCGGCTTAAAACAGACTATTTTAGCTATAAGATATTTTATGTAAGCCTCATGGTAACACAGTGCAAAACCTATAGTAGATACACAAAAGAGAAAGAGAAAGAAATCTCAGCATACCACTACAGAAAATCATCAAATCACAAAGAAAGAACAACAACAGGGAAAGAAAGGAACAGAGAAATGACAAAAAAAACAGAAAACAATTAACAAAATGGCAATAGTAAATCCATAACTATCAATAATTACTTTAAATGTACATGGAGTAATTTTCCAATCAAAAGACACAAAGTGGCTAAATGGATAAAATGAACAAGACCCAACTATATGCTGCCTACAAGAGATTCACTTCAGCTTTAAGGACACAGACTGAAAGTGAAGGCATGGAAAAAGATACTCCATGCAAATGGAAACCAAAAGAAAGCAGAGGTATCTATACTTATATCAGATAAGGTAGACTTTACCACAAAGACTAAAATAAGAGACAAAGAAGGTCTTTATATTGATATAATGATAAAAGGGTCAGTCTAACAAGAGGATATAATATTTGTAAATATTTATGCACCCAACAGAGAAGCACTTAGATATATAAAGCAAATATTAACAGACCTGAAGGGCGAAATAGACAGCAATACAATAATAGTAGGGTACTTCAATAACCCACTTTCAACAATGGCTAGATCATCTAAACAGAAAATAATAAGGAAATATTGGACTTAAAATACATGTTAAACCAGATGGATTTAACAAACATTTACAGAACATTCATCCATCAGCAGCAAAATACGCATTTCTTCTCAAGAACACATGGAACTTCCTCAGAATAAATCATGTGCCACAAAACAAGTCTTAATAAACTTAATAACACCAGAGTCATGTCAAGCATATTTTCTGACCACAATGGTATGAAACTAGAAATCAATTACAAGAAGAAAAGTAGAAAATTCACAAATATATAGAGATTAAACATGTTACTGAACAACCAATGTGTCAAAGAAGGAATCAAAACATAAATCAAAAAATTCTGTGAGTCAAATGAAAATGGAAATACAACGTCCCTAAATTATGGGATGCAGCAAAAGCAGTTCTAAGGGCAAAGTTCATATGATGAACTCCTACATCAAGAAACAAGAAAGATCTCCAGTAAACAACCGAACTTTGTACCTAAAGTAACCAGAAAAGCAAGAACAAA